CACCCCTGCATGTCTTTTTGGAGTTGATCCGGGCCTGCCGCCTGCCCCCTCGGATCATCACCCAGCTGCAGCTCCAGTTCCCCAAGACAGGCTCCTCCCGGCGCTATGGCAATGTGCCTTTCAAGTATGAGGACTCAGAGACTGTGGAGCAGGAAGAGCACGTATATACAGCTGAGGGTGAGGAAATACCCCAGGGAACCTGCTTGACAGACATATCAGCCAGCCTCTGTGGAGAGATAGTGGAAGAAGGGGAAAAGGAGGACGAAGAAGAGTCACACTCAGATGACGTGAGTACAGTGAGCCACACTGTCCTTGCTGGCAGCTTAGAGAGGCCAAGGCCTTAAGAATACCACTCTTCATCCTAGCTGGGTAGCTTAGTTGGTTGGAGTGTTGCCCAATGTGCCAAGATTGCAGTCCATTCTCCTGCCAGGGCACATACAAGAAGCAACCAGTGAATGCATAAAAAAGCAGAATAACAAATCAATGTTTCTCTTTCTCTCAATCAAAAAAAAAAAAAAAAAAAGGATACCACTTTTCAATTGTACATTACAAGAGTTCTGAACCTGGAGTCCTCAGGAGGATTCCAAAGTATTGGAACTCCCTGACATTAAATGTAATACAGCAATTGCATGTGCAGATATACATTTCTTTGGGAAGGGGGGCCATAACTTTTATCAGAAGATTCTCAAAGGGATCTTCTTTTCATTCCTCAGAAGGAATGTGAAGAGGGTCCTTTTCATAGGTGAAAACCTACAAAGAGCTAAGATCATCTAAGGAAGTAGAGGCAGAGGTGGCAGGTGAACCCACTCCCCTTCGCTGCTTGTCTGACCTCTATGTGCTTTCATTACATGGCTGAGAAGTCATCTCTGTTTTCTGACCTTGAGCCTGTGGATTGAACACTAGCTTCCACTTCAGTTTTATCAATGAAATACACATTTCTTCTACCTCTTTCTCTGAACTTGGTTATTTATCCATACAGTCAGGGGAGGTGTGATTTGTTGAGAAACTATTTATTTCCATTTTACAACTTCTATTTATTTTTTTTATTTTAATTTTACTATATTTTTTCTATTACCATTTATTCCCCGCTGTGTTCTCTGCCACCTCCAGCCACCCCCTTACACCCCTCCACCCACGATAGAGAAACTTTCTGTTTTATTTTTTATTTTTTGCACACTCTGGGTAAAAAGTAATTCACCTATGTTTTCAAAGCTTCGAGAACAGAGTTGCTAACACATCTGGACCACACCCTAGTCTGGTACTGTCCTGACTTTTCTCTGGCACCTGTTCTGCAGCAGTGATTCTTGGAAGGCTCTTGAACTTTAACCCTGACAGGGACCCCCAAGATTTCAAACCATGATCTATCATGTTCCACAAGTCCGGCCAAGCAGTGTAAACACAGGGCCTAGCACAGGATCCCAAAGATATTCTAAGACCATTTTCTGCCCTCAGAGAGCTTTAAATCTCCCTGGAAAGCATCTGGAAAAGCTATATGGTGTGGTGGGCTGGGTTTGAATGCTGGCTCTGCCACTGTGTTGGTGTACTACCTTGGGCACATCACTTTACTCCTCTGAACCCAAGTTTCCTCATCTGTAGAATGGGGGTGATGGTACTTACCTCATAGGGTGGTTGGGGTGATTAAAGGAGCTAAGTTATGTGAAGGGCCTGACACACAGTAGAAAATAGGTATTAGTTCTTGTCCCTTCTTTCTTTGTGATATCATGTATAAATGCCTAAACAGTGTGTACTAATTAAAACTGAGAAGTTCGGAGACCAGTGAGAGTGTTGTGGGCCTCAGTGTGAATGGCTCCATTTAGACTGTAGAACTTGAGAGAAGAGGAAGATTTAACCAAGTGAAGAGAAGATAGTGAGAGGCAGGAGCAGATATTTCAGGCAGGGGGAACAATATGACCAAAACAGAAATAACAGTGAAGCCGCCTTGTCTGGGGAAAGAGCCAAGTATGTTGAGAAACGGGATGGAGAGATGTGTTGGTCAAGGCCTCAAGAGCCTAGCATGTGTTGCATCTTGGAAGATTTGGAGGAATGATGCTGAGGGCACATTTCATGGGCCTCCAGTGCCCTGAGCTGCCCTCCTTGTGGGCCTAAGGCCAGGAAGCCAAACAGCTGAGTCACCTCTCTTCTCCCAGGACGATGACCGGGGTGAGGAGTGGGAGCGGCATGAAGCGCTGCATGAGGACGTGACCGGGCAGGAGCGTACCGCTGAGCGGCTCTTTGAGGAGGAGATCGAGCTCAAGTGGGAGAAGGGCGGCTCTGGTCTGGTGTTCTACACTGATGCCCAGTTCTGGCAGGAGGAAGAAGGAGGTAATGCTGGCATCAGACAAGGGTGGGAGTGATTCCTGCTGCATCCCCTGGCAGCGGGCCCAAATAACGCGTTAGGAAAGTGGCTTGCCTTAATTGTATACGAAGGACCAGTTAGCCTGTTTAGGGGTGGGACAATCAGTGGGGTGGTAATAAAGTGCCCTCCTGCAAATTCTGAATGACCTTTCCAGAGGAGAGATTTAAAACTACTATCAAAGGCCTCAAGTTCTAGAACATATGTATAAGTCTAGATTTAACCCTCAACAGGACTGACACTCTGCTTAATGTTTTTATACCTACAGACTTCGATGAACAGACAGCCGATGACTGGGATGTGGACATGAGTGTGTACTATGACAGAGGTACTGGTACTGGGCCAGGGGTTGCAGTACTGGGAGATGGAACAGGTGCCCTGGGTCTTAGACTGACAGTTTACCGGACCTGTTTAGCAGAGGCTGAGACAGGACACCAGTTCCCATGGGGTAGCTCACTGAGAGGGTTCCTCTCTTAAGACATTCTAGTTGAGTACATTAAATGCTTGTTGTAGGCAGAGCCTTTTTCCTTTCTTCTGGAACAAGGACATGAAAGGACAGCCCTCAGGAAGCTCTGGTTCTGGTGGGCAGACCAGGGTAGAGTGGAGATCGGGAGCTCATGCTCTGGTTAAGAATTAAGAGTCTGGAGTCCAAAATGACCTGTGTGGGGAGAGAAGGGGAAGACCTGGGTTCTAATTCTGTCTTTCATTTGTTGGCTCTATGATTTTTCTGTGCCATAATTTCCTCATCTGTTAAGATGGGAAAACCTTGGTTCCTCCTTTTGGTAAGTTCCCGGTCTAATGAGAGGGAGAATAATAAAGTAATAAAACACCATAAAGATGAATATGGAAATTTTGTGAGGTCCTAGAAATCTGATTTTCCCCTCCTGCTGAGAAAGACCCTTCTGCAAACTGGGCTCTGCTTCCTCAGATGGTGGAGACAAGGATGCCAGAGACTCTGTTCAGATGCGCCTGGAGCAGAGACTCCGTGCTGGCCAGGAGGACTGCTCCGTGATCCAAAACCAAGTGGGCCCCTTTGAGCGCCACACCAAGGTACTATGCCCAAGCCATTGACCTCTTTTCCTTCTCTACCCCCATTCTTTCTTTTCACCTTCCATCCCCTGCCCTCCATGAGAGCCCCATCTTTTGAGTCTTCTCCCTTCCCTCTGCAGGGCATTGGGCGGAAGGTGATGGAGCAGCAGGGCTGGGCAGAGGGCCAGGGCCTGGGCAGCCGCTGCTCAGGGGTGCCTGAGGCCCTGGATAATGAGGGCCAGCACCCCAGATGCAAGCGTGGATTGGGGTGAGTATGGCTGTGGAATTTCTCTGGGGTCCCAAGCTAGCCTTTCAGCTGTACCCTGCTTCCCCCTTCTCTCTGGTTTTGGGGTGGGTGCTGGACACTCCTAGGGGGTGAACTTCAAAGCAGAGTTAGAAGGGAAAAAATGGTCTGGATCTCGGTGGGGGGGTGGGGCGGAGAGGGTCATTCCCTTAGTCTGAGGAGTTTGGACTTGATTGCCATTAGGAGGTGACTGTGAGTCACAGAGTTGTGACAGCTGTTTTAAACTTTGTATACTACTTAAAATGAAAGCAGTGAGGCCCCTGGTTGCTGGCACTGTCAATGAATGGATAAGGGGGCTGGAGAGCAAAGATCCAAACTTAAAAGGCTCTGTCTTTGGAACAAACCAGATCTGTAGTAGCTACTTCCCTGTCCTTTCCCAACCCATTTAACTGGGGTTTCAGAGAGAGCTGGGCCCTTTTTAATCCAGGTACCACGGAGAGAAGCTGCAGCCATTTGGGCAACTGAAGAGACCTCGTGGAACTGGTTTGGGGCTCATCTCCACCATTTATGATGAGCCCCTACCCCAGGACCAAGGGGAGTTGCTGCTCCGTCGCCAGCCACCCACCAGCATGAAGTTTCGGACAGACGTGACGTTTGTGAGGGGTTCCAGCTGTGCCTTGGACAGCTTCTCCGAGCCTGAGTGACAGATTCAGGGGCTTCCTTAGGGTTACTCGTAAGTGCACAGTGGCAGCCCTCTGCCCCAGCCTTATCTGCCAGGAAAGCAGGAAGAAATCTCCCACAGAAGCAAGAAGTCTGGGAGCAGCAACCTGTGAGGCTCCTTCAGGGTGCTTTGCTATGAACTTGCCTTCTGGCTCTCTACCTCAGGGGCGTTTTTACAAAAAGCCCCCTCCCCTCCCTTTTGACATCAGGGCTTAATGATCTCTTCATAGGTCTCCTCATTCTTGTCTCTTTCTGGGCTTGCTGCCGTTGCCTCCCTTAGCAGTTTGAAAAGCTGGATTGACTGAGATTACTTATGACCACAACCTTCCTTGGGGTGTGGTCACTATGAAGGCCAGAAAGAGTGGGAAAGGGACCTGTAAGAGAAGATTTGTGCTCAGAAGAGGCGGTCTTGGGGCGGGCCTTCCACTGCCGCGATCCCTAACTGGCTAGGACTGACTAGACAGTGGAGAATCCGCGGCAGGTGGCCCAGATCTGTGACTGAAAGCAAGAATAAATAAACTTGTGACCGAATTTCTCTCTCTCCTAATTTGGGTCTGGAGGAAAGTTGCAGAAATCCCGAGAAATAGTTCTCACCCGGACTCCAAGTTTCCAAGTACGCCTCACAACAAAACCCATCCCTCCGCCAGGCGTGAAGTGCTACGCACCGCCAGGACTCGGCGCTAAGCTGTGTCGTCATTGTGAGGGTGGGACTTCCTCCCCGGGATCCACTGTTTCCGACGTCCTCCGGAAGTCGGTGCTGGTCGGGTCAATACCGGGCTATTCGCTCTGCGTTGTACGGTTCCCTGCTGTTCCTCTTTAGGCAATTCCAGAGCATCGCCATCGCAACGCCCTCTCGCCCAGAGTGCACGTCGGGGATCCCGTCGCCCTCGCTCGCTCTCCGGCGCGGTCGCCCTCCCTGTTTCTCCGCCCCGCAGACCTGCTGCTCACCGGCCCCATTGCGACCCATGGCGGGAACTGCTCCGACCACAGCCTTTGGGCAGGCGGTGATCGGCCCGCCGGGCTCGGGAAAGACCACGTACTGCCTGGGCATGAGCGAGTTTCTGCGCGCGCTGGGCCGGCGCGTGGCGGTAGTGAACCTGGACCCGGCCAACGACGGGCTGCCATACGAGTGTGCGGTGGACGTGAGCGAGCTAGTGGGCTTGGGCGACGTGATGGACGCCCTGCGGTTGGGGCCCAACGGCGGCCTACTGTACTGCATGGAGTACTTGGAGGCCAACCTGGACTGGCTGCGTGCCAAGCTTGACCCCCTCCGTGGCCATTACTTCCTCTTCGACTGTCCAGGCCAAGTGGAGCTCTGCACCCACCACGGCGCCCTGCGCAACATCTTCTCCCAGATGGCCCAGTGGGACCTCAGGGTGCGTCTTAGGTCGGGCAGGTCCATTTTGCAGATGAAGGAACTAAGACAGGGAGGACATGCCACACCCCCATGTCACACAGCGAGGTAGGGGCGGAGTTGGTTTGGGGTATAACAGGTGTGTTTTCGAATTCTGGCTCTGCCATCGACTCACTATGTGGTCCTGGGTAAGTCACTTTATCTCTCTGAATCTCAGTTTTCTTATCTGTAAAGTGGATGTGTTCGTACTCAATTTGGGATTATGGACATATGGAAGAAGTTATGTGAAAAGTGACGTGGCGATCGTTATTGTGAGTTAGGGGCAAAATTAAGTGAAAGAATGGAGTCAGATGTAGTGAAAATTGAACCATTTGCTCACTGGGAGGCTCAGTGCAAGGCTTCTTGTAAGAAAAATGCCCGTATCTCCTGGGAGAAAGAAATGAGTGTGGCTGTTAGAACAAAACAGAAGGACACTAACGGGGAAGGCTTGCACTCTGTCCTCAGGCATCCCCAGCCTGACAGGGGAGACATAGGCCCTGATTTTCCCTGCCTCATACCCCTCACCCTCTCTTCCTCTCTTTCCAGCTGACTGCTGTCCACCTGGTGGATTCTCACTATTGTACAGACCCGGCCAAGTTCATTTCAGTACTGTGTACCTCTCTGGCTACCATGCTGCACGTAGAGCTGCCCCATGTCAACCTCCTTTCCAAGATGGACCTCATTGAGCACTATGGGAAGTTGGGTAAGAGCTCCAGTTTCGGACAGGCAAGGTGCAGGACAGTGGTTAGGCCAGAGTGAAGCAGAGATCTCAGCTGAAGGAAGCTGCCTCCAGAGACCATGCATGGCCTGGTGATCATAGCCACTGACAGGTCATGACCTCTGTCCCTTTATTTTGTGCCATATACTCTTCTGGGTTTGGGGATAAGGGGGCTACAGATGGCAATATATATTGTGAAGGAATTAAAACTGAATGATGAGGCAGTGGGCGGTAGGGAGTGAACAGTGCCATCTGACCTGGGATCTGAACGGTGAGGAGCCTGCCAAGGGAGAACTGTTCTAGGCAGCAACCAGTAGGGGTAAAGGCCCTTAGGCAATTGCTTTTTGTGTTCAAGGAAGTGGGGTGGGGCAGAGTAGCTGAAATAGTGATTAGGGGAAGGGTGGTAGGAAATGAGGTCAGAGAGGTCGGCAGGGGCTAAAATCCTGTACTTTTCTTTTTCTTTTTAAAGATTTTATTTATTTTTAGAGAGGGGGAAGGGAGGGAAAAAGAGGGAGAGAAATATCAATGTGCGAGAGATACATTGATAGGTTGCCTCTCACACACCCCCAACTGAGGACATGGCCAGCCACCCAGGCATGTGCCCTGACTGGGAATCGAACTGGTAATCTTTCGGTTCACAGGCCAGCGCTCAGCCCCCTGAGCCACACTAGCCAGCGAAAAAGCAATACTATGTAAACACAGGAAAGTAATTGATGAATATTAAGCAAGGAAATAACACACACTGAAAAGGTCATTCTGGCTGTTTTGTGGAGAATGAACTGAAAGGGGCAAGAATGAAAACAGCTGCTCTAGGAGATTGTTGCAGCAGCCCAAGGAGTGGTGATAGGAGTGGGGAGAAATAGATTCAAAACTTGCTCAAGAAAAAAGATTTGTTTGTGGATTGGACATAGAGTTGCAGGAACAACGGATGATCCTCAGGTTTCTGACCAAGCCAGTGAACAGATGAGGGTGACGGTAAAGCCCCATTTTACCTATGCCCACGTTTGTAGTCCTCCCAAGCCTCCCTCCCCTTTCACAGCCTCCAGTCCAGATGGCTGTGTGGTGGTCTTCAACCATCCTCTCTCTGACTCTTGATAGTCATCCTCACAAGAGGCTGGTAGGCAAATCAGATGAGACAGCTGAGTCCCAGAGACCTTACAGGAATCACACAGCGAGTATGTTAGCTGAGGTGAAATCTAAACCCAGGTGTACCTGGCTCCAGTTTCTTAATTCTTGTTGAGAAACGTACCTGACAAGCAATCCAAGACGTTTGTTAGATTGTTCCTTGTAGGCATAGGGGTGTCAGTTTCTTTTCTTTCTTAAAAATTTTTATTTCTTTTTTTAGAGAGAGGGGAAGGAAGGGAGAAAGAGAAGGTTGCCTCTTGTATGCCTCCAGTGGGAAACCTCGCCTGCAACCCAGGCATGTGCCGTGACTGGGAATCAAACCAACAACCTTTAGCTTCGCAGGCCAGCACTCAATCTACTGAGCCACACCAGCTAGGGTAGGGTGTCAGTTTCTAATTAGAGCTGATTTAGAACATGGGAGGCAGAGCTCAGGGAGTGAGTTGATCAATCTCTGATCTCGGACAGCCTGGTCTCTCAGCTCAGTTGGGGACGTAGCTGCTGAGGAGCCCAACTGCTTGATCTTCCAGGCCGAAATGGACAATGCAGGACCACTTTCCTTCTCTTAGTGGGAAGTTTGTAGTCATAGAACTGAGTCAGGGCCCTAGAGTCATCTAGTCTGATCTCCTTATTTTAAATTAAGAAGGAAATAGCCCAAAGGGGAAAGAGATTTACCCAGATGCCAGCCTGCTAAAGTCCTTACAGTGTGTGCTAGGTCCTGGGGGTACCTGTCTCTGAGCTTCATGAGGGACGTACCAGGCACTGGAGTTTATAGCATTTACTGGTAATCCTCACAGCAACCCTATGAGGTAGGTACCTGTCCACATAGCTAGTAAATGACAGAGCCAGCAGGTGAAACCATCTATTCCTTCATAACTTCATTTCACTGCCATTGTTGAATGAATAAATGAGGGAGGGAATGAAGGCAGAGGAAGAAAGAAAAAATATGGTCCCTGCCCTTGGGGCTTTAGCCTGATGCCAGCTACTCCTGAACATTGGCTTCTCTCCTTAGCCTTCAACCTGGACTACTACACAGAGGTCCTAGACCTCTCCTACTTGCTTGACCACCTGGCTTCTGACCCTTTCTTCCGCCACTACCGTCAGCTCAATGAGAAACTGGTGCAGCTCATTGAAGACTACAGCCTGGTCTCCTTTATTCCTCTCAATATCCAGGTACCGGCGACTAAAAGGCCTCTTCCCTTGGCTGTAGGCTCTGACAGCACGTGGGACCTCACCAAGCCAAGAGTACAGGAGGCTTTGAGGGCTGAAACAGTGCTCTTTGTCCTAGGTCCAACTATCATTCAGCGCCCTTGGTGTTGGGACCAGGGGCTCTGGTGAGCAGGATTCCAGTAAAAGGGGTGCACCAAACTTTGGCCCTGTTTATTCTGTGTTGCTGGGTCCTCTCTACGTGTTCCTTCCTCAGTGTGAAAATGGACTAGATCAGAAAATCACCAGCAAGGGACTTGACCAAGGCCAGGGACAAGTCTCTCAGTCTCCTTCAAGATGAACAACTGCTTGCTGACTTTGGAAAGTCATACCCAGGCACTATGCTTCTCACCTTCACCCTGCAAAGATATCCTGGGAGACCCCAGTGCATGCTTGATTCCTTTCTGCAATGGGTAGACTTGAGTGAACTTGTCTCTTCCCTTTTTAAGGCCACCCTCTTCTCTAAAATAAGCTAAATTCTATAATATTAAGCATAACAACTACTTTTTTAAAAATTGATTTTTAGAGAGAGAAACATTGATTTGTTGTTTCACTTAATTATGTGTTCATTGGTTGATCCTTGTATGTACTCTGACAAGGGATCGAACCCACAACTTTGGTGTCTTGGGACAATGCTCTGACCAACTGAGCTACTCGGCTAGGGCACAACTACCACTTACTGAAGGCTTTCTGTGCTAGGCATTGTGGTAAGGGACTGTAATGCATTCCTTTGATCTTTCCTTCCTGACATGTGAGTATGAATTGTTCTTATTAGTTTTATGTGGATGAGTAAATAAATAAGTTACATGCATATTTATTGGGTGCTTACTGTTAGCTAAGTACTGTGCCAAGCACTGGGAATACCTTGACAAATGAGTCCCTGACCTCAAGGGGAGCACAGTTGAATAGGGGAGGCAGAGGAGTTAATAATTTATTAATAGTTAGTAAGATGGTAGGATCAGAGCTACAATAGGAATAAACCCAGGGAACTGTGGTTGTGCATATAGAGCTTATCTGTTCTAATTGAGGCGGATTGGTGGTCAGGGAAATGGGTTGTAGCCAGGCCCCTGGGAACATGTAGAGCTGCTCCAGGCCAAGGAAGCCTCATATACAGAGGCTTCATGAGGGAAGACTGAGGAGGGCGTTTGGAGACTGCAGGCAGTTTGGTATAACCTCAGTTCCACACACCTCTGTTTCACTCACAGAGCTATTTCTCTCCTCCCTCCATAGGACAAGGAGAGTGTCCAACGGGTTCTGCAGGCTGTGGATAAAGCCAATGGCTACTGCTTCGGGGTCCAAGAGCAGCGAAGCCTGGAGGCCATGATGTCTGCTGCAATGGGAGCTGACTTCCATTTCTCCTCGTATCCTTGCTCTCTAGCTTCTTAGCCACAGTCAAGGTGGTGGCGGCAAAACGAGATATGGGACTCAGGAATGGCTACATCTACCCTTGTAGATGACTGATTTCATGTTGCTCAGTTGGACTCCTCGGTGACTGTCTTCCATATACAAAGAGTGGTCCCTTAGAAGGCTTCAGGGTTGGTTGTACCTGAGGACAAGGAAGGATATTGATAAGAAGGAGCAGCAAATGTGGGGGCTCAGGAATGGAAGGGCACTGGTCATTTGAGAGAGAAGCAAGGGGTTCAGTTTGCCTAGTGTCTTGACTGTGAAGGGGAAGGGAGATGCAGGGCTTTCGATGGAGCGCTTGAGTGCCCCGCTAAAGAGAGTGGACTTCAGCTCATGGGTGAACAGTATTGTTGAGCAGGGTGTGACATGAACAGATGTACATTTTTGAAAAGCTTCTTCAAGTGTGGAAAAACCCATTTAAGAGATGTGATTGGGAGCAGGAGAGTTTTTACAGTATAGAAGAGAAGAGGTGAAATAGTAGAGAGAATAGAAAGAAGAGTGTGGATTAGAAAAATACTAAGGTGCTAGACCACTTGAGTTTGTAACTGGATGATTGTGAGACAGATGAAGGTGGAGCAGAATTTAGATTCCCAGTTTCTGGCTTAGACAGTGATGTGGATGGTTGTGCTAGACACTGAGGCAAGGAAAGAAAGAGGAAGGTTTGGTCACGTGGATGAAAGGGATGATGGGAGCTAACAGCTGTGCTGTGTTTGAGGGCCCCTGGAACAGAGCTGCCTGGAGGCAGAGCAGACCTTCAGAACTGGACCGATGAGGGTGGAGCTGAGGTCATGTGCAGGTGTCTCTCAGGTCACAGAGGCTACTTGTGAGGCAGGACAAGGAAGTCCAGGCTTTCCAGGCTGCTTTCAGACATTTGGCATCTGCACAGGATACGGAGACAAGGTGGGATGGTAGGGCCCCGGAGTCCTTGGACAGGGAGGAAAATAGTTCCCGCCACCTCTCAGATCCGTGTTAGGCCCTTTCATATGTGGGAAACAACACTCCCAGGGAAACGGGCAGTTACAAATGATGGCAGCAGGGTGTGCAGTGCCTGAAGAAGGGACCGAGGAGCTGCCTCACACATGCAGGGATTCCGGTAAAGTCAGCGCTACCAGAAAAGGGAAGGGGCACTTTCAATAGTGCTGTGAGACAGGATTCTATTCACAAAACCATGTATACTATATTTAATAAGTGACTTGAGGAATTTTAAGGGTATTTTCTTTTGGTTTTGATTCCCTGAATGGCTTGCCTTTTTTCTTAATTTTTCAGTTATAGTTCGCGTTCAGTATTATTTTGTTTTGGTTTCAGGTGTATAGCATAGTGGTTAGACAATCAAATATTGTACTTTACAAAGAAATTTTAAGGGTATTTTTAACCATATACATTTGTGCTGATTATAGATTCTGCCCTGCACCCTAATCTCCTTAGGGTTCAACTTCACTCTCTGTTAATAAGATAATTAGGGATTAATATAGAAAGGAGTACATGGGTAAAGAAAGCTTCATTGTGGTAATAGCATTTGAGTTGCATCATCCCAAAGTGAGAGTTAGCCAGATTGATTAAGAGAGAAAGGGAATTCAGGGCAAAGAGAACAGTGTATACAGAGGCATAGGAGTCCAAGATTGAGACAGGTTTGGGGGGTTGCATAGAATGGCATGACTTGTGGGCAGGACAGGACTTCCGGCCTGGGGAGCAGTGATAGGGCCAGACAGATGGGCCAGAACACAGGGTTTTGTGTGCCCTGCTCAGGAATGGGGGCTTCAAAGCGGAAATAAGGCAGGTTTGAGATTATTCCAAGTCAAGCAAGATGGATCCCACGGATCCTGAGTGACCATCAGGACCAACTTGCTTAGGAGCAAGGGGTTACCTCCTGAAGAAAAATGAAGGGGAGAGGGCACGGGTTCAGAGTCAGTTTGTGTAGGGGTGAAATGGATTTTGATGATGGATCCATGAGATGGTAAAGAAGGATCTCTAACATGAACATCATTTGGTGGGCTACATACTTTATTTGCAGGATGCCGTTTAATCTTTATTCAATCCCCTTTTACAGATGAGGCAGTTGGGGCTCTGAGAGTGACAGGCCCAAGGTCCCTCACTCAGCATGTGTTTGGAAGAACGGTTCAAATCTCGGTCCCCTTGGTTGTAGAATCTCAGTTGCTGACACTGGGCTCATCTAGTAGAGCAACCATAGTGGCCAACCTAACCATGGTCAACGCCCATTTCCTAGTCAGACCCCAGACCCCGACCTCAGGCCAGCCAGCCCGATGGGGCTCCATCAGCAGCGTCATGATCCTTCCCTTTGTGAATCTGATTTGTGTCCTTACTGCTGTCCCAGAGAGGTAGCAGGCACCCTGTGGTCCAAGTAGAAATTTGTCATTTTCTTTGAGCGCCCTTGAGTTCCCTCCCTTGGCAAAAGAAGTCACAAACATTTCTTAAGCACCTACTGTGAGCCAGGTGCTGTGCCGGGCACTTTGTATTCATTGTCTCATTTGATTCTCATAACAACTCTTGCTTTACACATGAGGAAAAGGACATAGCAAAATCAGTATTTAAATCCCCATGGCCTGGCTCAGAGCATGTGTCATAACGCAGAGCTGAAGGGTTAGCACTCTCTGGTCCTTTGATCTTCAGCAGCGTGGGGGAAGAGGTGAATATAGGGGCACTTGAGTTGCTTTGGAAGGCATTTCAGACCCAGCTGGTCCCTGTTGCCTGAAGCTATAATGATGAGGAAGGGAGAAGGATGGAAGTACTCTGCCAGATGTGGTTGGAAGGCAGTCATCAGTAGAGGTCAGATCCTGCCCTTGCTGTCATCCTTGACCTGCCCTCAGCACCCTGAGCATCCAGGAGAAGTACCTGGCACCCTCAGACCAGTCGGTGGAGCAGGAAGCCATGAATCTGTAACCACCAGCTGGGCTCTGGAGAGTAAGACACGTAGAGCAGCACTGGGGAAAGCTGCAACTCCCAGCGAGCAGCGGACAGCCCAGTAGGCTGGAGATCCAGGAACAGTTCTCCCGGCCAGAGTTGGGAGACTGATGAGGGGACACTCAGCCTTGCAAAGGACTCCTAGCCAAAAGCCAGACATGGCTCAAGCAAAGCACCCACCATACCTTCAGTGCGTAGGAGCTCTGGACACTGTCACCAGGAATTCAGCGCTGGTCCCACTCGGACTGTGGCGGGACGTGCTACAATACAAGAGTTTATTTCCTTCTCCATTCTGTGATTTTCAAACTTTCTTCAACCGTCCAGGGAGCTGGGGTAGAACAAGTGAATGTCACCTTCTCTCAGAAGACTTCTATTTCTTTATACATGGCAGTATGTTCCCAAAGCACAGGATCATACTAGAGGATTGACACTTATTCTCCAATTGCGTACTTAGGTTAATTTTCAATTTTAACAGTGATCCTTAAGCTTGAGGCACTACTTCCTAGCTAGATCTTAACATTTTATTTCATTGTATTCATTTCATGGTTTTATTCTACTTTTGACAAGTGTTAGTTAGTTTCCTTTATAATAGTGATTAAAAGTTTACTTTAAAAATGAAGTTATTTATACAAAGTGCATTTTCTTTTTAAAGATTTAATGTATTTATTTTTAGAGAGCAGGAAGGAAGGGAGAAAGGGAGGGAAAGAAATATCAATCTGTTGCCTCTCTTCATGTCCCCCAGCTGGGGACCTGGCCTGCAGTCCAGGCATGCACCCTGTCTGCAAACTGAATAGGCGAACTTTTGGTTTGCAGGCCAGCACTCAGCCCACTGAGCCACATCAGCTAGGGCATAAACTGCATTTTTTAAAGAACAGTATTCAATACAGAAAGACATTAGGGGCACAGGAAAAATTAAGATAGTTTCAAGTTAGAAATACTGGTGTTTGCTTCCTTTGCTCTACTTGCTACTGGTAGGATGCAATTTGTATTTTCAACCAATAGGTGGCAACCCAGGCTTATTTTTGCAGTTGTAGCTTGGAGGCGCAAGGGGAGGACAGAAGGCAGTTGTGCCAGAAGTCATTTGCAGTTACATGGTCCTGTTAACACGTGCAGGGTTTGGCATTTTACAAAGTGCTTTCACACACACGGTCCTCATGTGATTAACACAGCAACTCCTAAAAATACAAACGATGGGGATTATTAGTAAGCTCCACTTTACAAGAAGGAAAAAGATGAGTTTGAACTTCAGTCATCCTGGCCCTCTGGCTTACTTTGCTGACTTCTTAATTGTGAATACTTAATGGTGAAAAGTCATGCTTCATATTCTACAGGATTTGAGACCAATTGGAAGGAAGAATTCAGACACCTTTAGAGTGTTCCTGAATCATAAATCCAGGGGAAGGTAGGTCAGTGGTGGTTTTGACAGTTAAAGAAAATTTGAAGTAGCGTTGAGATGATGACTGAACTTTGCTTTCCAGTTTTGACAGCCAGAGCAGAGTGAAGCACTATAAGGAGCCTCCAGTGGCTGGAACGGTATGAAAGCAGCCCATCTCCGCTCCCACGCCTGGTGTTACAGGGGATAATAATTGGGTGCTGCTTCCCCAGCCTCTTTCATCTGCAGAGTTCAAAGCACCTCACTCCTAATTAACACCCTGTACAGTAGTAGGTGGGGAGTATCAACAGAGCAAGCCAGGGAAACTGAGGCGAGTAGGCCCTGCCTGGGGCTGGCCATGAGTCACCTGTGGGGCCTGGAACCCAGGAATCCTGATGCTCAGGCTGCTGGGCAAACCCCTCAGGGAGTGAGGATGGATGCTGTGTTTTCGAAAATAGTATCAATAGCTGTGGTCATGGCCTTTGATGCCTACCCCATCCTGGATGCTGCAGATGTCACCAAAGCAAACCAGTAGGAAAGAAGTGTCACTTAGAACTTTATAGGGTCATATCCAAGCACGCTTAGTATTCATTCTTTGCAGTCCTGGAGTGAAGGACGAAATAATCCAAAACTTTGTTTTCAGGCATTTGTGTGACAGCAAGGATGTTTTCCCCTCCAGTAAATGTAGCTTTCTCCACCTCCCACTGATAGCAGAATGATTATCATGTTGGGAGGTGGGGAGGGCAGCACGGTGCAGAAAAGATCAGATGCCTGGGCTCCAGGTGAGGCCTGTTCAGCCATATGAAATGTGTGGAGTAGAAGAAAGACAATCTTCCAGTATGGTTGAGATATGGCAACTCTCCTTAAGAGTTCTTAATTTTTTTTAAATTTCATGATGAAAATAGTAAAGTGAAAAACTTGGGAAATAGAAAATTAGACTCATAATCGTAACAAAAATATAATTTATAATAAATTTATATTTACATTTATGTTTTGTCTGTTTTGTTTTTCTGTACATCTAGAGGGATAGTTACAGCATTTATATAAGTGGGATATAATTGCTTTGTAACCTGCTTTTTTCAGTTGATATAATTAAAAATATAAAGACTTTTTATTTACGTGATAATATTCCATGGTATGTCTAAAACGTTTACCTACTCATATTCCCATGGTTAGCGTGTAAGTCAGCACCACTTTTTTGCTATTGTAAATAGTGCTGTGATTAATGTCTTTGTATCCAAATCTTTGAGTCTTTGACTTTTATGATAATATCCTAGAAATTGAAAAACAAAGCAAAACTGATGTTTTCCAGGTCTGGATTCATGTTGCTAAAATGCCTTCCAGAACAGTGCCATTTATGTCTCACAGACACTTCCTGAAAGTGCCCCTCTCCCTCTCAGACCTTACTCAGCAAATTGTGGACAACTTCTGGAGAAAGGAAACCATGTCTGAGTACCTTAGAAGGGACCTTCTTGGTCATATCTGCTTAGTGCTGATATTAGGATAGATGCATGTCCTGGCTCTGAATTGGGACCCCAACAATTGGAAGATAGCATTTGGAACTTTTCAGAGACCACAGTTCATTGGAAAGGCTTCCAGGCCAGACAAAGAGGCATAGGAGTGAGGGTGACGCCCTGAAGTCCACAGGCTGAAGCACAGCCAGCCTGCTCTCAGCTGTTTCCGAATTAGCAAAATGCTCACCCCCCAGTTGGCTGAGAATAAGAAGCCCAATCCCATTAGAGTCTGTGGGAAGGTCGATCTTGGAGATTCTCTGTCATTTCTCAAGGCTCCTGGGAAGAGAAAGGGAGTGACTTCAGACCCATCTCAGCATCACCATGACACACCAGTTTTTTAAAGTTGGGAGGCCCAACTGCCCCCAGACTCCTGGAAGGAAATTCTCTCGCAAGCCAAGCCGCGTAGCCCCCTTCCTGTCCCTCCCCTTTTCTCCTCTCTCGCCCCTGGCCATGGAGCCCTTACCCAGTCTGGTCTGGGCTGCCCACCTCCACTTAATGTCCCTTTTACAAAGAAGAATCCCAAATTCACATATATCTCAATGGCATCAGGCCTACTAAGGAGAGAGGAAGTTGTAAGTCTCATTTACAATTGATTGTGTCCTTTCTTTCCGGCAGGGGTGCCAACTTCAGACAGCCCCAGAAGTTCAGGTGAGGATCTGTGAGGGGGTGAGCCAGGGATTTGGAGCCCAACTAAGGTGAAGAAAGATGAGTGTTGATAAAAACCTCTGGACTAGAATACATAACAAAGTTAAATTTCCTTTCCCATCCAAAACCTTGAAGCAGTTGTGGAGGGGGGAGATGAGAGGCCCCTTCAAAGCCATCCCAAATCAACCTAAAATCTCAAGGAGTGTGCTTACTGTGCAAATCAGCTCCCTTCCCACTGGTGGCCTTTTCTTGTCTATGAATCCTGCAGACTCCACATTGCTCTGTGGAATCTTATAAACATCCCAGAAGGGATAATGGGGGACATGGGTAAGATTTCTCCCAGCTCAAAGCATACCAGTGGTTGCACAATCTATTCTGAGTTAAAAATCACTCCCATCTACACTCAGACAAGGAAATTTCAGGTTAACTTTATTTTGGAGGAAGAAGGGGGAGAAAATGTGTCTTCCTCCCTCCCGTTTTTTGTCCCTCTTTCCCTTCCACCCGCCTTTCCTTCCACCCGCCTTTCCTTCCACCCACCTTTCCTTCCACCCTTCACCCTTCCTTCCTCCTCTTTCAACCTATATTTCTCGGATACTATAAACTGATATATATCAAGTACTGTACCTAGCCACAGATTGAAGACTCCATGAGTTCAGAGTCTGGGATCTCCCTCTTTTTATCTCTAGACAAAGAATTAAATTTCCCAGAGAGCAGTAAGGAGAAGGTTGGGTGGAGATGAGAGATGAATCATCCTCAGACACCCCTGGGGTGACATACCTGTCTGCTGCCCCCACAGACATTCCAGGCCCCTGAATCAGTGAGTAGGTGGGGCGGGGGCGGGGTGGGGGTAGTTTGAGAGGAGAGGGATCTACCCTGCAGAAACATGCCTTCCTCACTCCACACAGAGCAAGGACTGTGGGGTGGGTAGACCCTGTGAATAGGGCGAAGAATTGAAAAGGAACAAAAGATGTAACCAGATTAAGGAAACCTTAACTTGGTGAATGAGCTGGGAAATTGGTCCACTACACAATTTTTTCTTAAGACAATTCCTTCTTGCCAGGCCCTGGGGTGGCATTAGACTGAGAGTAGAATAAGACTTTCTTGATTCTTAGGAGCAAGGCAGCATAGCATAATGGGGTTCTTTGCAAATGTATTTTTAACTCATGTAACTCCAATACACAATACAAGCATACATGCGGCTCTTTTAGCCATGTGTGGAAATGGGAAACCCTGACCACTACATTCCTGCCTTGTTCTGGGGAACCCTCTGAACAGAATTTGAAAACAATTTAAAAATCATAGACTTTGGAGTCAGAGCCATTCTGCTCCCTAGACACGTAAATAGTTGTATAACCTTGGTTATTAGTTGTACAACCTTGGTTATTAGGTTATTTAGCTACACTGAGCCCCACTCTCCGCATCTGCAAAACAAAGGTGATAATAGTTATGCCCACTACTATTGTTACAGTACTGTGTTCCCTAGGAAGAAGCAAGAATGGGGCACTGTTGGTCAGGATAACCTCAGTGCAAGCCTCTGAAATCAGGCTTTCCGGAAAAAGCACTGGACGTTTGGACACTGGACATGTGTGTCTGTGTGTGTGTGTAGAAGTAGAGTATCTTGCCTTCTGGGAGTATCTTGCCCTGCCTAACCCCAATGCCTTGGCCTCCCTCGGATGCCTGGTTGATTCTGAGAAGGCACATTGAACCCAATGCCATGCCCTCCATCACCTACTCCTGTGGATCTACAGAGCCAATTAAGAATGGATATATTCTCTAGAAAATTTTAGGTTGCAAATTTTCTCCATACCAGTCAAATTCTTAAGAGAGGATGATCTTTGCAAGTCCTGGACCTCCATTTCCTGAGGGATCCTCTGGCAATATAGAAAGGATAGGACTGGGATTATTTAAATCTTTCTGAGCCAACCTCTGTTTATAGTCCTGCCTCCTCTCACAACCAGCTATTTTTCCATTTCCACAATTAAGGACCTGGCACTAAACCAGATTTCCAGGCACTTGGAAGGATGGTTTTAAAATTAAGTTCTGAGCACCTTCCTATACACAAAACCTTGCTGGAGACACTGTGGGAAGACAGGATGAATAATGGGACAAAGTTACTGTTTTTGGAGAGCTCTCTGAGGAGACAAGAAATAAACCCAGGACATAGTTGCAAACTCAGAGGTAGGATCAAGTAGATATGAAGTCATAACTGAATAAATGTACCTATATAAATGAAAGGCGGTGGTAAAATAGCACATACCCAAAGCTCTGTATACGTATAAAAGGGAGAGGGAAGCTGGTCAGTCATGTTTTGACCTGGAGATGGGCTTTGAAATTTGGAAGAGCTTATAACTGTGCTCCAGTGGAGAGGATGATGGGAATGGGAGAAAGGCCACCATGAAATGTCTAGTGGAACTTGGTTGGCATTCTTACCTGCTTTGCCTTCTGGGACTGATTTTTAAAACAGATATAATTCACATACCATAAAATTCATCCTTCTAAAGTTTACAGTTCAGTGTTTTTAATATATTCACAAAGTTGTGCAAATATCACCACAATTTAAATCCAGAACATTTCATCACTCCAAAAGAAACTCCATACCCATTAGCAGTAGGATTGAAATTTCTACAACGGCAAATCTAGACCAGAACAAGACGGTAAGAAATGCTCACTGAAACCCCACTCTGGGTAACAGTAAGAAAGCTTTACAGAGGCTAAAAAAAAAAAAGTCAGATAAAAAAGACTGTGACCCTCATGGCCTGTTGTCTAAGCAGGCTCACATCTAGCCATCTGACGGTGTTCCAATCCATACCATATGCTTTTGAAATCCTTCAACACCAACATACTCATTTCTTTCCCCATATAGGGCAACAATGAGTGGTGTGGAGAGAGAAGGCAAAGTCAGAGGCTGAGAGAAAGAAGTTTCTTTCCCAGGACCTATCCCATTAAGAGAAAGTTACCAGACCTGTCTGGTAAGAGAAACTGGGTCACTTTCAGAGTGGAGGGGGAGTCACTTGCCCTAGCCCAGAGTCTCTGCATCGTTTGGAAATCCAACACACTTCCAGGAAAGGAGGGGAGAAATAGGGGACCCAGAAAGCATCACAGTGGTCCCGCAGACTTCCCCTGCAGAATTACTAACTCTGTCTGATAAGAGCCGTTCAATTTTGAGTTCCATGGGTGTGGCCAGACTTGGACTGTAATGAGGCTGGCCTGAGCTCCCCAGTCACCCTGCATTTTCAGGTGGCCCAGTGAGCATGCAGGTCAGCTTTGGCAGTAAAGCTGCTCCTCAAGACTGGGCCTGGCTGATGATTCTGCTTTTGGCACAGAAATGCTGGATAAATCCTAGACTATTATAGATGCTAGAAGGATTAATAATAGCTAACATGTACTATGAACTACTTCAAGTGCATTTATTTTCTTAAACTTCATAGTTACTCTTAAGAGGAAGGTACTATTTTCTAGTCCCCACATTATAAATTAGGACACAAAAGTTAAGCAAGGTTAATTAAGAGCCTTGGCCAAGGCAGGATGGGAGTCAACTACGGCAGCTTGATTCCAGTACCCAGATTCTTCAGGTTTCTTTAGAGAGTCTTTAGTTCAAGACGCTTTAGACACTGAAAGGGAAACTAAGGTCCAGGGAGGTGTAATGGCTTTTCCAAAATCCCACAACCAAGTCAGGGATGCAGTCCAAGCCTCCTGGCCACTAGTTCAGGGCTGCCTGGATTCTAGTGTGTGGTGGCCTCTTCCCAGCCCGCCCTGCCAACCAGGCCCCCAAGGTTAGGCAGATGACTCAAAGGGAGGGGACTGCTTTTTCCGGACCGCCCCGTTCCGCTGCCATGAGTATCCTAGATCTCGGGTCAGGCGGGTAGCAACTTGTCTGAGTGAAACCCGGAAAGCGCCGCCCCTAGCGCTCGGCAGGCGGTGAAGGTGTCTCAGTCCCGCAAGGCAGACTCGCAAACCGCAAAGCCCACCGGGCGTCCGAACGCGCGCGGCGCGCGTCCGTTGCTTACTCTCCCATTGGCCAGTACTTCGAGCAGCCCCCTCCCGTGATTGGGCGATATAGGCTTCGGGCCCGCCTTCAGGCGGGACCAAGCGAGCCGGTCGCAGGCCTAGGCGCGTTGCCTCTGGGCGCGGAGGCGGCGGGGTTGGAAGCACTGGTCTGGCCTACGTTCCCCGAGGCTCTTCCCAGCCAGCTAGCGCCTCCTCTCCGCCAGCCCGTTCCATTTTGTCCCGTCTGCGAACGATGGGGTACGTTCCCCTCTTCTCAGAGCTGGGCTTTTTAATGGTGGCGTCACAGCTCTGCCCCAGATCGTACTTCCCGGCCTCTCAGCTCTGAGCACCTGATGGGACCCTCCCTTCGCTTTCAAATCGGGGTGCTCAGTACTGCTCACTACAGCATATTCATGCGGCGTGGTCCTTAGACCTTATGCCTGAGACTTAACTGGTTTCCTGCCGCCTCAGATCTAAGCTCTTCAGCAGAAGAGCGTTAGAGCCGCCTTTGCGCTCACCTGACCCTCCCCGGACCAGACCTGTTTGTTTGGGGCTTGGTGGAAAGAGCCGTACCCCCAGCTTCTCACCTAGTCACCGGTCCCAAAGTTTTGCCTGACCCCATGGCAGGTTAGGGCCCCAAATCAGGTTTTCTGTAAATCATACACCAATCCTAGTCCCAGCCCTCCGCCAATAACTGGAAAAGACAGGAGGAGTGTCACAGGGGAACTTTATTGAGAGGAAACATGGTCACACCCAGCAGACATGCTTTCCCTCTCATTCTGGGCCTTTCTCTCTCTCTCTCTCTCTCTCTCTCTCTCTCTCACACACACACACACACACACACACACACACACACACACTCGCCAACCTCTGCCACACGGTCCACTTCTCAGCCACAAGGGTGGGACACTCCTCAATTCCTAAGATCCAGAGGCAGCAGGGGCAAAAAGGAGTGAAGAGGGAGAAAGAAGTGACCTGGTTCATGGGTGGGGTCTCAAGGAGGGGGTGCAGAGAGCAGGGCTGGGTGAGCACCCGACAGTGCCAGAAGAGTGGGATCCAATGGCTCTAGGAGGCCTCAGCTCTGCTGGTCCCTCCCTATGGAGCTTCTCTGAGCTGGGACAGAGCATTCAGGGAAAGGGGTCGGGCCTCCCACCCCATATAGTCCTCTCTGCTGGGGGTGGGGGACTGGAGCGGGCAGGGCAGGGCAGGGAGAGTAGCAGCGTGGCTCAGCTCTGGGGCTCCTCTGGTGCTTCGCCTCCCTCTTCCCCGGCATTGTCGGCCGTCCACAGAGTCAGGTTGTCTCGCAGCAGCTGCATGATGAGGGTGCTGTCTTTGTAGGAGTCCTCACTGAGGGTGTGCAGGTCAGCCATGGCTTCATCGAAGGTGGTCTTGGCCAGTGAGATGGCTTCCTCAGGGCTATTGGCGATCTCGTAGTGGAAAACGGAAAAGTTCAGGGCCAGACCCAGGCGGATGGGGTTGGTGGGTGGCATCTCCTTCTTGCTGATATCCATGGCCTCTTGGTAGGCTGACCGGGCAGAGTCGATGATGCGCTTCTTGTCGTCACCGGTGGCCACCTCAGCCAGATAGCGGTAATAGTCACCCTTCATTTTCAGGTAGAAGACCTGGCTTTCAGCATCACCAGCCTTCTTGATGAGGTGGGTGTCCAGCAGGCCCAGCACGGTGTCGCACACGCCCCGGAGCTCCGTCTCCACCTTCTCCCGGTACTCACGAACCTCTGGGCCCTTCTCTTCCGAGCCTTCCTCATTGCTTTTCTGCTCAATACTGGACAGAACCCGCCATGCAGCCCTCTGGCCACCCACCACATTCTTGTAGGCCACTGACAGCAGGTTTCGCTCTTCGCAGGAGAGCTCCTCACCCTTCTCCACAGCACTCTTCATGAAGGCTGCCATGTCCTCATAGCGTTCGGCCTGTTCGGCCAACTTGGCCTTCTGGATTAGACTTGCTCTCTCCATGGCTCTGGGGACAGACAGGCGTTGGGCTAACTGGCTGCCTCAGGATCAAGCTGGATTCTGTGCCTCTCCAGTTCCCTGCCTGCCTTTTGGCTGGACGGCCTGGCCCAGAGAAGGGTGGGGAGGGAGTGGCAGAGGGCGGGACTGAGGCCCTGGACCTACCTCCCTCTGCTCTTCTCACACCCTTTCCGGTCTTCCTTAAAGGTAAAAGGGCTGGGATATGAGGTGAGTCATCAAGACAGTCAGCAGGAGAAGTCTGGGTGTCGGCCCCACCTGCACAGGCACCTTTCCAGGCTCTATTACATGGGTGCCAGCCTACATTAGGTAGCTGCCCCAGTTTCTCAAATCATATTCTCCTTCACAGTGTCCTTCAGAGACTAATGATGGCTTCAGCCACCTGACTGCATCAGCCTTGGCAGACCCCATAAACCCAGGTGCAGGAGGATGGGGTTCCTATTCCTGCCAGATAGAATCCCCCTCCTTGGTTCAGGTGAGATCTTTCCTGTTTAGGCAGGTCTCTACAGTTTCCCAAGTACCTCCATATCCATTATCTAATTTAGTCCCTACTGTGTCTCTGAAGTGGGCAGGACTGTGACCTCACTTTAGAGATAGGAATACTAAGGCTCAGAGGGAGGTAAGATTTGCTCAAGGTCACACTGCTACTAAGTCCCCTGCATCCTACTTCCTTTGGTTTCTCTCCCATCAAGGCCTCTGACTTGTGAGCTCCAGGATGTATTTAGAAGTGAGATCCAAGCTTCCTGAAATGGTTCCATCCCCCAGCCTCATTTTCCCTCAGGATCTTGTCCCCTCTGAGCTCCCAGAACGCACAGGTGGCAGTTTTCAGGGTGCCACTTAATGAGGTATTTAATGAGCAGCCTCTGACGCTCCAGCCCAGTCGTTGTAATTAGTCACCCAGTAGGTTTGTTGGACACCTTTCCCATCGCAGCACAATTTTCCCTTTCAAGTTGGTGGCCTGTTGCCACTTGTTTGAGGACTTACCCTCTGGCTCTCCAGGCCAGGTCACCTGCCCCCTCCAAGTCACCAGCCACCCTGTATCAGTGGGGCTCACAAAGGGTGGGGGCCCAGCTTGCTGGCTGTCCCACTTTCCTGCCTGACTCAGCTCGCCCTCTGTCAGAGGCTGGGAAGCAGGCCACCTGAGTGCTCAGCCCAGTTTGGTTCCCCAGGGGGGACGCTAGCAACTGGGGAGAGAGATGGGACCAAGAAAAAGGAGGTGGCGATGACACATACCATTCTGTTTTATGGGGCAGCAGTCCCAGCTGAGTACTGCCTCCCAGAGCCTGCCTCTCAGAATTTTCCCTACCCCTTCCCTTTGACCATGGCCCTACCTCTGACTTCTGTCAGAGGCCTCAGAGATGGAGAGGTCTCTGTTGTCAACCTTCTGTCCCTGTTAACTGGAGTGCTGTCCTTGTGCAATCAAGAGTTTCTTTCATCTAAAGGTGTTGGCACTGTGCCCCAGAAGGTGGGTTCCTGCTTATCTGCCCCACCCCTAGCGAAAGCTCAGATGGGGCTCAGGGTGGGGCTCCCCTTACTGGGATCCAGCCAGCTTAATCCTGGGGCCAGGACCCGACTGTCCCTGAGTTTGTCTTGGTGTCTGAATACCGATCCTCCCCTTCCGGAGAGAGGGAGGCTTAGGCCCAAAGATGAGCTCTGCCTCTTAGGAGGAAAAGCAGGGACATATCTGGGCTGATGCTACAGGTTTCCCAAGGAAGCAGAAGGGGTTTTAGGCTTGATAATCCTGAAGGCTTTGCTCAAATCAGACAGAAAAGGATGGAAAGGAAATACACTAAAATGCAACTTACAGAGGGCGTCTTTAAATAGTGAGACTGTGAGTGATTGTTTTTCCTTTTCTTATTCTCCTCAAGTTACCGATCGTGAACGTGTATTATTTTTCTGAGAGACGGAATAGCCAGTATCTTTGGAATCAGACCAGCTGGGTTCAATTCTTACAAACTGTTGTGGCCTATGCCAAGTGACTTAATCTCTGTGAGCCTGTTCTCCTAAGTGGAAAATGGGGTTTGTTGTGAGGATTAAATGAGTTGATGGAAAGCACTTCTTTGAGTGGATGATGGCTATTAGTATGTGAAAAAAATCCAACCAACTTTATTATTATAAACATACACATTCACAACATGAACATGGAGCTGGGGCCTCTGAAATGAGGAAGGGCCCCACACCAGGTCTCAGTTGAAGACCAGAGCCTACCCAGCTGGGTGCCCACGTGGGAAAGACGACGGACGAATGGTCAGCACTGCTCACTTGACCCTGCTCCTCCTTCTCCGCCTTGGGTATTCCTCTGGGCCTGCGCAGGGCCCTGGGCCCTCAGGGACCTTCCTTTGTGTAGTCACCCAGTCCAGGCTTTCCACGTCATGGGGGAAAGCTGGAGATCCCAGAACAGCATAAATCTGGGAAGCAGGGCTTGGCAATTGTGGAACTATTTCTGTCTCTAGGAAGGGAGTCTTCTCTTTTTTATCACTGAAGCCAGGAGGCCTGGTGGCGGTTGGTTTGCACCCGCAAGCTCGATGCCCTCAGTACAGCTCTGGGCAAGAGATGGAAGCCCCTTCCCTCCTCTCTCTCCCCTGCTGAATCTGAGAGTCAGGCTGCCTGCAATCTCCCGCTGGCTCTGGCCTGTTGATCCTGACTCAGTTCCTGTCTCAGGCACCTCCCTTTGCCTCCAGGCCTCCATTTCCCAAGTCCAGAAGCCCAGGCAGGCGGGAGGCAGCAGGCCCCGGCAGGGCACAGGGTTCCAGTCAGCCATCTGAGTCAGCAGGACAAGAGCTGGGGCTGCAGCCCAAAGGGGCTTTCCTCATCCTGCCTACTACCTCCCACTCTCCTGTATAATATCCATTCTACCAGCAGGCTTAAGGCCTCTGATCCCATAGGCAACCAACCCTTCTTAGCTGGTAAACAGGCGTTGAACGTTGTGGTACAGAGAAGGCAGACAGCAACTACCATATTTTGCCGTGTATAATGCACATTTTTTTTGCCCAAAGTTTTGAGGGAAAAGATAAGGATGCCCATTATACATGGGTAGTACCTGAAATACCTTTTATCTTTTCTTGTGCTCTGTAATTATTTGTTACATAAAATTTCTTGTACCGTATGTTCAAAAATAAATGCTAAAATCCCTTTACAATACAAAAAAAAAACCAAGTATCTAAATAGAAAGAAATAAGTGAATTAAAATAGTAAAAGATTTGTTCCCTGAAAGTTTGCACCAAAAACATGGGTGTGCATTATACATGGAAGCGCATTATACATGGCAAAATACGGTAGTTTCTGTCTATCTCCACTGGGATAGGGCTCCAACTGCAGCACAAGGGACTCTGGTTAAGATTCCAGGAAAAATTTCCTAGGAAATTCTTCCAGTCTTGGCATGATCAAACTACATAGGTGACTAGAGGAAGCTACAGCATCTTCTCCCCCTGGCTAGTTGTTAACCAGAGTTCAGTTATCCAGCCAAGAGCTCACTCAACTAGTTGCCTTTGCGGGGGAGGGGGTGTGTGTGTGGGGGGGTGAATTAGATTACTTTTGAGTCAGTATCCTGACACTTTTCCTCAAGGCACTACTGTTTTAAGTATCCCACATTTCCCAGACCAGTCTAGGACATGGCGTGAAATTTTTGAAAGAATGGAATGAGTTCAGGGGGTGGGACTGAATTCCAGCCCTGTTACAAGGCCTTGGACAGGTTCCTGCCTCTGGGCCTCGGTTTCTCCATTGGTACAAGGAGGCCCTGCAGATCATCTCTAAGATCCCTGCTGCCTATGAATGATATTCTTTAACTTTAGGGTTTTTCCTTCTGAGATCCCCCTTCTCCTAAAGCAGCCCAGTTCATTCCTTGGGTAATGCTGAAGGGTCAGAGGTCAGCACAGAGATCAGGATCAAATCTTGAATTTGCTACTTTACCAGTTGGCAACTCCCTGGGCAACTCCTGTGCCTTCCTTGAGCCACAGTTTTCTCATCTGTAAAAAGGCTGACAGCACCTTCCTCATAGGTTACGTTGAGAAAACAGGCCTGGCGCTTGGCAAGTCCTTGCTAAATGGCTGCTGTAGATATTTATTTTTATTTATTTTCAGTTTTTAGCTCTTAGAATGCTGTGTGTATATCTTGATGTGGGGAGGCAGCTGGGAGGAGGGAAGGCCCCATGAGAGTTGTCACCTGGGCTGGGCTCAGTTCAGGAGTGTGACAGCCCCAGACTGGAGTCAAACCCTCTGTCATAGCCTAGGCTGGGACCTTTCTGAGTCTGGAGGTCAGCTAAGGCTTGAAGGTCTCTGGAACTGAGACCAGGAATTCTGGAGGGGCAGAATGAAGAGGATGCTGGTCACTCTTCCTGTGTCACTTCTGGCTTTGCTGAGCCTTTTAAAAATCTCCAAACAGCACTGACCGACTGGAACAAAGCTGGCGGCTGTAAGCCAGCAGTTCTCTTGCACACTCATTGCAGGCCCCACCCCCAGATCCCAAAGTAAAGGTGGCACCAGACAGCCAAGGGTATGGCAAGAAGAGGGAAATCTTTATTTTGGTTAAAAAAGGTACAGGACAGCAGCCAAGCAGCCCCCAGCGTGGGTCCAGCAGATTTCTAAAGCCTACCCTGGTTTCCTTCAGTGCCTCTGAAAAAACAAGGGGCAGTCTGAGCTAACTCAGTCCCTCAGTGCCTGGAGTAAAAGGTACAAGCAATCTTCCTTGCAACCTACCTACCCTGGTGCTGGGGGGCGGAGGGGGCCGTGGGAACAGTGTCAAACCAGTTGTGCTTAAAACAGTTACCAAACTTGTTCAGCAGCGTCATCAACCATCAACACCCCAGACGGCTCCGGAAGAAACCTGCTCAGCTCGACTATGGCTATGCCTGCCTGATTCCAGGGGAAGGGAGGCAGGCTGTAAGGCAAGATTCCTAAAGAGTCTTGACGCCTTACAAATCTGGGGAAGGGGAAGTAAGGAGGAGGAGGGGAGAGCGAGTTTCAGCAAAGTATTTATTATACCACTGGGCTGACAGCTGCGATATGGCTTTTCTACACTCTGGCTGGCATGGAGTGGGGATGGGGGCGAAGAGGCCAGCCCTTGCCCCCTATGGCCGGGACCCTAGAGAGCACATGTGTGGGGCAGATTTGGGGGCAGACCCTGTAGGCACAGATGGTGGCAGGTGGGCCACAGGTTAGGCAGGTGGAGGTGCCGGGTGCCTGGCGCCCCCCAGGCCGCTCCTGGAGAGGCAGAGAGCAGCAGTCCTCAGGAGGTCCTTAAGCCCCTGCACACACTGGAGATCCCGGGTAGGGCAGCAAAGAAGGAGAAGAGAGAGGGTTAGAGGGATTGGGAGGAAAGAGGAGGCCTGTAGGGGTGCCACAGCACCTGCCTCTTCCCCGGAGATGGGCCAAAACTCAGCAGCAGGCAACGAAGCAGGAGAGGAAACGGGCAGGTGAGAGAAAGCTCAGGAGGGACAGACGGCCAGGACACAGCGTTAGTGACCAAGGGCCCCCGCACACCAGGACACCACCAGAACAGGCCCAAGCACCTCGGAGCAGGTATGCCATCCTCTCTCCAGCCTCACCCTTCACCTCCTGTGCCAGCTGGAGAGCTGCTGTGCGCAAAGCTACTTCCTCATCCAGAGGGGGGCTGGGCTCTTCGCCCTGGCCCCACGCCCCCATCCTTCAGCTCAGGGGGAGCCCTCGGGACCCTACCGCCGTCAGCACACACACCACGTCACACACCAGACAGATGAATGGGCTCCAAGGGGTTGGCGAGGCATGCGATGAGGATGAGATGGGTGTGTGGGGGAGTGGGCAGTGCTGGCCGACAGGGGATATAGAGTCTTACCAGCTAACCCTCTGCAAAGAGGCCTGTTAGCTCCCCTCAGGCTGTGCAGGAGATGGCAAAATCCTGACAGGTGTCCTCCTGGAGGAGATACCAGAGAGGTGGGCCAGTGTTATGAGGTGTCTGGCTGGGCTCTGCTGCCCAGACAGGCGTTCGGACCAGGAAGGCTCCGGCTCTCAAGTTGGAAACTACTGTCTCAAACATTTTCTAATCTGAGCAGTCCCTGGGGGTCAAAGTAAAAAGAATGGCAGGGGAGAACTTGGGGGTCTCCAAGCCCCCGAGGCAGGGGAAAGTGGAAGGGACAGACTGGCCTCTTCTCACTCGCCTACGGGCTCTAGCGGCAGCTCCCTCTGCTCTGCCTCCAGCAGACAGACTCCAGCCCAGAGAGAACTTTAGCCAGGTTGATAGGCTGCCTGCCTTCTCTCTGTCTCCCCAGGAAAGACCAAGTTTGACTGAAAGAACAGACGGCTGCCATTTGGGGCCTCAGCAAAGGAAGAGCAAATAAAAACCAAACCAAAGCAAATCAACTCTTAAAAACAAAAGTTTTATTACAAGCAGGAACAAAGAATACTGGCTCAAATAAAAGGCCCCTCCTCCAGCCAGCTTCCCCCCCACCTCCCAGCGCCACTGCAGCGTGGCTCCGGGCACCGAGGCCGGGGCGAAGCTGTTTCTCCCCAAGGAGACCCTCTGTGGCTGCCACTTCTCAGCTGCCTGCGATCCACTAGTCTCCGGAACAAGGAAGGGAAAGATGAGGGGACTTCTATGTCACTTTCCAAGGACTTCAGTTCACTTGAAGGGCCAAGGAGGGGGACAGAGGGACATTTCCTATCTATTTTGACAATAAACTATAGCTCCCAGCAGAGGAGGGACATCCTCTGAGTTTCTGGCCTAGATTTAGGCCAATCTTCACTTGTCTCAGCCCACCCTGTTCCTTCCTTCATTTTCTCTGGAATGAGGCTTCCAGGTGACAGAGACTCCCTGTCCCCTAGCCCTTGGCACTGAGTCCCATACTCAGGGCTTGGAGGAGGGGGTGTGGCTTTTAGGATGGCAGCCGCTCCCCACAGCCATTACCCCATCCACCACACCCAGCCGCAGCCTGTCTAGGCAGAGCCCGGCTGGATGCCTCACCTGGGGCCTGGATGGCAGGGGTGGGGTGGGGAGCGGCCGAGTCCCTAGCCACTGGCTGTCTGAAGTCCCCGGAGGAGGGAAAGGTAGGAGGATGGGGGCTGAGCTACAACAGGAGCCCAGGGGTCTCTAGTAACCAATGTACACATTCCCTGTCCCCATGGTTCAAGCTGCTCCTGCTGTTGCCAGCTGACACTGGGGGGGATGGCGGGCGGGGGCAGCCCAGAGCATGTGGGGAAGTGGGAGCCAGCCACATCTGTAGAAGGGTTAGCACTCATTCACAGACAAGACGGCCTCTTGTAATAAACTTATTAAAACCAACTCGCCTTCTGCTCACCCTTAAGCTGGCACTACACAGACAGCAATTTGGCTTTTTTTTCTTCTTCCATTTAAAAATGCTATGTAGAAAAGAGGTCTATAAAATTGTGCAAAATACCCAGCATTAATAAACCCGTTTCAAGTATTGCCAACATGAGTGTAATCTACCCATCCCAGATCTGACTTCACTTCAGAGAGAGATGGGGGCCAGGCTGGGATCCCAGAGAACCCTCCATGGGCAGAGAAAGGGCAAGACTCCCCACTTCCTGGTGTGCTGCCCAGGAATCATGCAGGCGCTGAGGTCTTTGAGTGCCTGGCTGGCTGGTTAGGCTTCCTCTGACACGGGCTGCCCCCGTACCCACCCCAACTCTGCCTTCTCTACCTAGAACCCAGCTCTATCATACTGGCCAATTCCATACAAAAAAAATAAAAATCAAAGAAAAAACAATGACCATCACAAAAAGAATGAAGGAGCTCGCAAACCAAACCAGCCCACGGAAGCATCCTCTCCCACAGCCCACCGTCCAGGGCCAATTGCTCATGGGTCGTGCTTCACCCCAGGACCCTGGCTCAGCGGGGCTCAGCAGCGCCCCCAAATGGGAGGCATCACACTCAGTCCATACCCTCATTCACACAGGGCTCGCCCTGGCACAGAGACTTGGCGTGGTCCTCTGGGTGGCCTGGCCCTGGTCTCTCTATCCTGTCACTCCTGCCACTGATCAGCCTTGGCGGGGACCTCAGGCCCACGGCCATGGGAACCTGGGTTTGGGGAGCAGAGGGCACAGCCATGGAACAGTGTAGGGACAGCCACGCAGGGTGGGAAATAAATACGAATAGACTTGAGTCTTTGGCAGCTCTGCTTCGCTTGGGTGGAATGGGGAAGGTCCCAGCAGGTGTGGAGGGCGGCAGGTGAGTGCAGAAGGGCAAACAGGCCAGCAGGTGGCAAATACTGAGCCTGGTTCAGGGGTGACCTCCTACCATGCTGGCATCAGGCTTGGCTCCGCAGGCTGGATCGTCGCTTCTGATGGGCGAGGGCAACACAGCGTCAGACTGCACAAATCCCCTCCGGTCAATGAGGCTTCCAAAATACAAGGGGACACATGAGGACCCTGCCTGATACCAGAGTTCCAGACAGGGTGCGAGATGGCAGAGTTCACAGCCCAGCCAGGGGAAATCCCAGCCCTGGAAAGTCTGAGGAAAAGAGAAGCTGTGCTCCCACTGGGGGACCATGACTCCTCCTTTCCAAAAGGGCCTTCTCTGCACTCTGGGCGCCTGGCTTTTGGCCACAGAACTCAACGTTAATTCAAACTGGTCCACCCTTCTGTGTGACTGCCAAGAAACCAGGCTGCGAGTAAGGGGAAAAGTAAGGGATGAAAGGGTATTTGGAGATAGTGTGATTCCTATGGTTCCTACCCCAGTGCAGGGCTGGTGGGAGGAAAGGGGGACAGTGTGGGAAGTTTTGTTCCCAGTGTCCCCTGCAATTTAGCTCCCGATCTGGCGCTCTAGTGCCCCCTGCTGTCAGAACGGATGAGGCGCTTCCTAGCAGGGATGAACCACTAGGGCTTTCTTCTGCCAGGCGGGAGGATGAGGGCCCCACCCAGTTTCTGGCCATCAGCACCAGAAGAGCAGCGTTGCTCAAGCGTGGCCAAAACGTTAATTGTAGTTATCCCTGAGGAGTAAGATTACATGTGAGACCTAATACTCTTCTTTTATTTAACTAAATATATATGTATATACCTTCATTCCAGAGAGAGGGGAAAGGGTGAGAGGGAAAAAAACATTGATTGGTTGGTTGCCTCTCTTATGTGCCCAACCCAGAATGACCATGAACCAAACCTGCAACCTAGGCATGTGCCCTGGCTGGGAACTGAACCTGCAACCTTTCAATTTATGGGATGATACTCCAACCAAATGAGCCACATCAGCCAGGGCTATCTTTTTAATATTCTGTACTTAATTTTTTTCTACAATGAGCATGTGATTAAAAATTAAAACTCCCCATAGAATTCCTTTATGTCATGAATGCACTCAGGGCATTCAGCAGGGATCATGGACAAGAGGGGACTGTGGAGAGAGGTCTGCTGATTCCAGAACCTCTTTTGAGAGGTGTGAACGCACAGGGACACCCCCGTCTCACCTGGGAGGTAAGGGGCCGCAGAGCACAGCACAGCAGTTGGTGATAACACTCTTATGGCTGTAGGGATTGACAGAGGCCTCACCGCCCCTCTTACTGGACCATGAGCCTTTGATCTGCAAGCAGGAAGGAAGTCTGGGTCAGGTAACTTCTTTTGCTTTGCTTTTCTAGAAGGAAAGTCTAGAGGCAGGGAAGAACTGGCGAATTCTGAAACCAATTCCAGCTAGACTACTGGAGGGAGTACATCTTTAACCTAGGCCATCCAGAGAGAATGTGGGGGACTTTTGGATGTTGGGAGCATCCAGCAGAGAGGAGGAGGCCCCAAATGGGACAGAAGACAGAGTAGAACCAGAGAAGCCTCCAAAAGCAGCTTTTTGGGTGCATCCTTCCTTCTCTGGCCAGGCACCTACGAGGGCAGGACAAGGGCTCAGGCTGCCTGACTGAACACTGGTCCTCCCACTGATTCTCTACTGAGAGCCTCTTCTCTGAATCCTCACTTGAAAAGTAGAGAACTCTCTGATAGCAACTCTCCGATAGCACTGTTGAAGTATCAGATGAAATCTGGCCCTTCTCTAGCTCTGTGAAACTGGCTATCAAAGGCACTGAGGTTAAAAGTGAAGGACATCTGCTTGGCTTTAACCCAGAAATTTTCAAATTTATTTGGCTCTATCAGTCCTTTCTGCTTAACCACTAGTGATCTCAGAGAACCAGTGCCCAGGAAACCACCTTGGGAGATGCTGGCTGATGTCATTTCTACTTTGTACCAATCACCCAGCTCATGATACCTCATCATGCATGTTAAGTTTTGTTTCCCCAAATGAGAAGCTGAGGTCAAGAAATGTATTTTCTGTTGGTGGATGGGCCTCTTAGTATCAGACAGCAGCCCTGGAAGGGATGCCCTCGTTTGCTTTTTTATTGTTTGGGAGAATGGGGAGGGGAGGTCAGATCCCTGGCCCAGGCCTGGGCACCGAGTGCGTGCTCAAACAATGCTTGCTGGCGGGGGCATCTGTAAGGCAGCAGGTAGGGAAGATTGATGGAAACTCACGGTCCTGGACTGGCTGCCCCCCTCAATAAGAAAGCCTCAGGGAGCCTCAAGGACACCTGAGAACAGTCACATCTCCGCTGCCTACAAGTGAAGCGGGGCACAGTCAGCGTGGCTGTGGCTTCTGGGTGAAACCCTGGCTCTATCCCTTCCCAGCTGTGTGACCTTGGGAGTCGCTCAGCCATCAAATGGAGAGGCATCCCTGTACCTTCTGCCTCAGAGGTGGCGAAAGGACTCAAAGAGACGATGGGAACTGAAAAAACTCTGGAAACAATAAGGTGCTGGCCAAATGTAATGACTATTCGGGCACGAGTGCTGCTTCTGTGGGGTTAGGGAGAAAGCCCGTTGGGGGACCTGGGAGCCTGCACCGAGGGGCCAAGGCATGTGGGGACCTCAGAAGCCCACACTGGGTCTCCCAGGGCCAAGCCACGAGCACTGGAGATGGCTGGCTGCCTGTCATCTGAGGCGGGGCCGCACCGCTGCTGCTCCAGCCCCCTCAGCCCTGCCTCTTGCCCGGGGGCCTGCCCAGGAACGAGTGGTTGCTCCAGCCTTACTCACGTCTTCGTTAGTTGTCAAGTTGGAGGCGACGAGGTAAGTGTGAAACCCTGAGAGGCCCAGGATGGACCAGATGGAGAAGAAGCAGATCACCAACTCCAGCACAGTAAGCAGAGCAGTCAAGGACCCACAGCTGGGATCAGGGCTGGGCGCCTCCCTGTGCCTGGAATCTTGCCACGCCCAGCCTTTCTCACCTATCCTTCCCGAGAAAGGAAATAAGTTTGTAACCTTCCTATGGCCCAGTCACCACTTCTTAGCAGGATCACCTCCGGGGCCTCAAGAAAGGTTCGGGAGCTGGCCTCAAGAACAGGATGAGCCCAGGGTGATGGACATGACACGGTCCAGGGAGCTTGGTGCCTCAAGGGAAGGCAAGAGCTGTGGCTCCTTTGAGTTCTCTGCCACCCCGTCCCCACAACAGCCCATTTAGGATCAGCTCAAGCCTGGGCATGAACAGAGGCAGCTGGTCTATTGGATTCTAGAGGACAAACATCAGCTCTATGCCAGTCCCCTGTCGACAGGATGTGTGGGGACCTGCCCCAGTGACCAGGTCTCAGTTCCCACCAGGGCATCCACTAGCAGACAAAAGGCAAAGGATATCTCGCTGGTGTCTCCTTCAGAGTGGAGAGGAAGTTGCTTCCCTGAGAGCCTGGGGAGGAAGAAACAGGGGAGCGCACAGCTCAGAGGGATGGCGACCGCAGCCCCTCAGCCTGGCTGAGCTCGCAGGCCCGCCCTCTGCTCCTCCCCCATCCCACTGCCACTGCCAACTCACGCAGTGTCAGATGGGTGACCACGCAGGCAAAGATGAAGGCCGTCAGGAATGAGAGGGAGAGAATAAACGCATAGAAGAAGCGGTAGTTCCGTCTCCCCACACAGTTGCCCACCCAGGGGCAGTGATGGTCAAACCGTTCTGGAAAAGGGCCAGGGGAGACAGGTTAGTGCAGGGCGAGCCTGCAATTGGCGCAGGTGTTCAGAGGCCTCACCACGGCTGGGGCTTTCCTACTCCTCACTCTCTGCAGCAGCTCTCAGTTCCTCAGACGCTCCCTGCATCTTTCTGGTCCTTTGGGAACAGGTTCCCGCTGCCCACACATTCTGCCCCATTTCTTTCCTGGTGAAGGGCAATTCCTCCTTCATATCTTGGCTACAAAGCTACTTCCTTCAGAAAGTATCCTCTAACCCCAGACAAGGTAAAAGTCCCCTGTTACCTGCCCTGTTGTCCTGGCACTTATCTTTTGAAGCACTTTGCCCATGGTGTTAACATACTTATTTACAATTAGTGGACTGGCCAGTTACCCCTGCTCGATTTATGCTCCACGGGGGGCCTGTGTTGGCCTCACATTGAGCTGAATCCAGGGTCCAGCAGTGCCTGCTACAAGGAAGATCCACAAAAAGTACTTGTTGCCTGGCCTATGACACTGGCCATAGATCGACAACCAATGACCCCTGTACTGCGAGCTAGAACTGAAGGCCCAGAGAGGGGCTAGACTGCTATGTAAACAGTGGAGAACTGGCATCAGAGGCCTGATCTCAGGTTGGCACCATGCCCTGGCGGTAGGGTCACACCCAGACTGTTGAGGAAAGTCCCCTGTGGGAATATGGGTCACAAGCCCGTTGCAGGCCTCACACCAAGGCCAGCACCCTTCGCAAGGGGTGGGTGGGGCAGATTCTCATGGATGAATGATGCCCACTGAGTCACCCAGCCCTCTGCCTGCCATCATGGGGTGTTCCCCACTGTTCTCTTGCTCAGGGAATGCTGAGCCAGTGTGATGAGCTCACTGCCCTGGAGACCATGCACAGTCATCGTGGCTTAGCTCACCTGGGTCCTCTTGCATAGCATTTCCTTTACGACACCCTCCCAGGGACACACCTTGGTCCCTATGAGAGATTCCCAGCCTCTGGAGAGCAGGGAGAGGGACAAAACAGCCTCTGGTTACCCAGAAACCACTGCAGTTGTGGGCTGGCAGCTTGGTTCCAATCCCAGCTATATCCTCTCCACCTCACCAGTTTAAACTCCTCTATTCCCAGGTTCTTGTCTCTCTCAAACCCTGGGGATCAGATTAAAGTCTTTTAGTATAGCTGGTCCTGGGCACTGGATGGTAAATCATTCCCTTTCTGGACTGAATGTATCTAGAATGTTATTGCTCCAGTCTCTGGTTCCTGGAACCTTGGACCTACTGAGGACCAGGCTGAGGCCCAAGAGAAGAGTTCAGGGCCTCTCTGTGTCTCTGTGTCTGCTCCACACGTCAGAACCGGGGGGAAGGAATCCACCAATCCTGGGCTGAAGCCAAGACACCACTGGTCACACTCAGGTTCCTCCCCAGTCAGAGCAAATCTGAGTGAACCAGACTTCCTGCCCAGCCCTGGATATTCCCAACGTGTTGCCCACCCCCCAGCCCCACATGAGTGACTCTCCTGTTTCCAGGGCTCCCTCTCTCTCAGGGCTCCCCACATCCTTCCCTGAGGCCTCTCACTTACCCACACAGTTGTCGCAGACACTGCAGTGTGAGGTCCGGGGTGGCCGAAACATCTTGCAGGTGAAGCAGTACTTCAACTTCACCATCTGCCCGTTGATCATCACCTCCCGGGTCCGAGGCGGGGGCCGGTATGTGGAACTGCCTGTGTTGTCTGAGGGTGGGAGGAGAGAAAGATGGGGGGTGTCCAAGCCTGGAGTCAGGAGCCCCAGTGAGGGGGAAGCCATTGCTGCCTGGCTGGGACAAGAGAAGGCTCATAACTTTCCGGGGACCAAATATTAGGGTAAAATGCCGGCCTAAGGCGGGGACAAATATTAAGAACTGCTGCCATTTACTGAGACTGTTATGAGCTTTACACACGTGCTCACACACAGTGGGCCTAACACAACTCTGAGAAGGGCTATCAGAGCAGGAGGCCAGTAAAGCTTACTGAGGTTTATTTATTTGTATCTAGGCTCAAGCCTAGATACTGGTTTCAATTTCCAGGCAGTTCAGGACATGGAGGGACAAAGTAAACAATGCTATGAGCAAACAATCAGATCAGAATTGGGGATATCGACAAGACCACTGGCCTGATCTCCAACAAAAATACAGGGGGCTTGTATTCCAGTCTGTGCATCAGAGGGAATCCTGACACCCACTGGATCAGCAAACCAGTCTGCAAGCACAGGGAGATACGAGGGCTCCCATCTGCAGGCAGCAAGAGCCGGGGCCTTGAAAAGGGCCACATTCTTGCCACACTATTGGTGGTTCTCGCCATGCAGCCTGGAGAAGACACAATACTCTCTAGCTCCACTGTTACCGCTAATATAAGTAATGTTTGTAAACTTCTTACCTAATAAACAATTTTTAGGGCAGTCCAAAAAAAAAAAGAGAGAGAGAGAGAGAGACAGGGGGATGGTTCTCAGAAGAGATTTAGGAGATGTAAACAAGCAATGCATGATCCTAGACTGGAGTGTGTTTTGAAAAAGAAAACAGAGCAACAAAGGACATTTGGAGGGTCCCTGGGGAAAAAAAAAGTACAGGTGAGAAACTTGAGAACTATTAATTTTCCTAGGTGTGATCATGAAATTGTGGTTATGTTGGAAGCTGTCCTTAGATTTTTAAGATACGTGTTAAAATATTTATGGGCCTACTTAAAATATTAAAGTGTCTATAATTTATATGAAATAGTTTAGTAAGAATTATGTGTGTGTGTGTGTGTGTGTGTGTGTGTGTGTATGACACAAATAAGATACACTAGTGGCAACTATTAAATGTAGATGGTGAATATATAGGAATTCATTGTACTAATTCTTCACACTTTTCTGGATGTTTGAAATTTTTTATAATACAAATTTTAAGAGAAAAAGAAATATAGAGCTGTATCATATTCATAGCTTGGAAGACTTGATATTAGAAAGAATAAATTAATCTGTAGAGTCAACATAATCCCAGTCAAAAATCCCAGGATTATTTTTTGGGGGGAAATTGATAATCTTGTCTTAAATTCATATGGAAACGCAAAGTGCTGAGAACAGCCTAGGCACTCTTGAAGAGCAAAGCAAAAGGTCTTATTATACAACTTGATATCAAGACTTTGAGTCACACTGAGCTGTGAGTGGCTTCAGGAGTGTCTTTATTTATTTATTTTATTATTTTTCCCATACTTTTTAAAAAAAATTTATTATTTTTTAAATTTTACTTTTAGAGAGAGGGGAAGGGAGGGAGAAAGAGAGGAAGAGAAACATCGTTGAGCAAGAGAAACATCGACTGGTTGCTTCTCAGAACCCCCCAACTGTGGACATGGCCCACAACCCATGGGAATCAAACCAGTGACCCTTCAGTTCACAGGCTGGCACTCAATCCACTGAGTCACACCAGCCAGGGCAGGAGTGTCTTTAGGAGTCAGCAACATGGCAGAAGACATCAAGACCAAAATCAAAAACTACCAGGCTGCCCCTTTTGACACCCGCTTCCCCAACCAGAACCAGACCTGGAACTATTGGCTGAACTACCTGGGCTTCCACTACTGTGAGAAGACAATGACTGCTAAACGGGGCGATGTCTCCGTGTGCAAATGGTACCAGAGCACATACCAGTCCCTTTGCCCCATATCCTGGGTGTCAGCTTGGGATGACCACTGGGCAGAAGGCACATTCCCTGGGAAGATCTGAACTGGCTGTACCCCACCTGTCCTGTCACCCATCCTTCTCCCAGGGAGCTGAAGGGGGAGCACCCCAAACCATGGCTTCCCTAATAATAAATACTTGTTGGGCAGGTGTTAAAAAAAAAAAAAAAAAAAGGCCGACTTAAAGGGAAAAAAAATACAGCAAAAAAAAAAAAAAAAAAGGACTTAGGATAAAGCTGTAGTATTTACGACAGCCTGGTTTGGGTGGAAGGGTAGAAACACTGACCAATGGAACAGAAAAGAGAACCCAGAGGCAGACACAACATGTCTATGATCATATGGCTAGTAACAAAGGCAACACTGCAGTGACGTGAAAGAAGATGGTCTTCCCCCATAATCAGTGCTGAGTCCACTAGGTATACAAATGGGGAAAGAAAATGCATCTGTACTCCAGACTCCCCCCAGACACACATGCATTCTAGATGGACTGTCCCTTTAAATGCAAGAGTTTGGGATTTAAGTCCTGACTGGGGGGGGCTCAGTTGGTTGGGCATCATCTCATAAAGCGTAAGGTCACTGGTGCAATTCCCAGTCAGGGCACATGCCTGGGTTGCAAGTTCTGCCAGGTGGGGGCAAGGCAACTGATCAATGTTTCTCTCTCACATCGATGTTTCTCTCTCTCGCTTTCTCCTTCCCTTCCCCTCTATCCAAGAATAAATAAATAAATTCTTTTAAAAAAATAAGAGATTCATCTTCATGACTGTGAAGTAGACAAAGATTTCTTAAACAAGACACAAAAGAGATAATCATAAAAGAGCAATTTGCTAAACTGCACTTGTATATCACAACGAGAACTTCTGTTCATCTAAAGGTAGCATTTAAAGAATAAATAGGTGACCTTCAGATCAGGAGATGATATTTACAATTACTGATGAAGGACAAAGGATTTGAATCCAGAATATATAAAGAAATCCTATAAAGTCAGTATGAAAAAGACAACTGAATTCAAATGTGGACAAGAGAGTCAAAGAGGCATTTCATAAAAGATGTCCAAATGACTAATAAACACATGAAAGGATACTCATACTCATTAGTCACTGGGGAAAATGCAAATTAAAACCACAATATGTTACCACTATACATGTATCAGAATGGCTACAATGAAAAAAATTTAAAAATCAAGTGTTGGCAAAAATGTAAAGCAACTAGAAATTTCATATTGTTTGGCACTAACTATGAAAGTGCAATATATGCACCCCCAGCAAGCCCACTCCTAGGTGTCTTGCCAACAGAAATGTGCCTGATTTGAGGTGAACCAAAAGACAGACACAGAATGTTCACAACAATTCTCCTAAACAGCCATAAAGCTGGACCTACCCAAATGCCCATTAATTGTAGAACGGATTTAAAATGTGGTATATTCAGCCCTGACTGGTGTGGCTCAGTTGGTTGGGCATCATCCTGCAAAGCAAAAGGTCACCAGTTGGATTCCCAGATTCCACCACCGGGTTGGGGTGCATACAAGAGGCAATCGATTAATGTTTCTCCCTCACACTGATGTTTCTCTCCCTCTCATTCTCCTTCCCTTCTCCTCTCTCTAAAAACAAACAAACAAACAAACAAATAAATAAAATCTTTTTAAAAAATGTGGTATACTCATATTCAGCCCTGGCCAAGTGGCTCAGTTGGTTGAAGCATTATCCATACACGGAAAGGTTGCGGGTTCACTCCCTGACTGGTCAGGGCATGTATGGGAGGTAGCTGATCGATGTTTCTCTCTTTTTCACTCACTCTCTCTAAACAAAACAAAACAAAACAAAACAAAACCATATCCTCAGGTAAGGATTAAAAAAAGTGCTGTATTCACTCACTCAATGAAATTCCAAAACAGCAATGAGAATGAGTGATCTTCAACAACACAAAGCAACATGAATGAATCTCATCAACACTGAGTAAAACAAAAAAGCCGCACATGTAAGAACACAAAAACAGATAAAAGTAATCTATGATATTACCCTTGGAGGTGTGACGTGATCAGAAAGAGGAACAAAGAGGGGGCTCCCGGGACACCACTCGTATACTGTCTCTTGATCTGAATGCTGATCATATTCTATATTAACATGTAGAATACGTAAGATTTGTACACTTGGGTAGGCCCATTATACTTCAGTAAAAATCTAAGAAAAAGAAAGGTCCAAGGTCTTATTTGAAGTCATGTAGCTGGTATGCTGCCAAAACAGGAATCTGGACCCAGGTCTGCCCTATTAAAGCCCACAGTTCTACCCACTGAGCCTCCTGGTACCCAGGCCACAGAGGACCAAGTTCCCAGAGCAGATTTCTGAGAGTCACACAGGGCTCCTGTGATTCCCAGCACTCAGCCATCACTTCCCCTGGATCAACTCCCCAGATACTTCCAATTTGATCGCTTGCCTCCAATAATTATTCACTGAGTACATACCATGTGCCAGGCACTATTCTAGATGCTTGGCAGGCATCAGTGAAGCAAACAGATTCGCATCTTACATTTCCAGCCACCAGACAGACTTCTGCTAGGCTGTCTCACCATCACCTCAACCAGTGCGTCTGAAGGAGAACTAAGCATCTGAGCATCCATCTCTTCCTTAAAACACTGCAGCATGGTAAAGGGCACGGGGATTGAGGCCAATGACTGGTTATTGCCACTGACTGCTTATGTGTGAGCTTGAACTTCTCTGAGCCTCAGTTTTCTCATCTGTAAAATGGGAATAACAGATAGAATGGGGCATGAATCCTGGCTCCACCTCTTACTAGCTGGGTTTCTCCTAATTATACCATTGGCTAAATGTGTGACAGGGCGAATCATTTAACCTCTCTGTGCCTCTGTTTCCTCAGTCCCTGAAATGGGGACAATAATAGTGCCCACCCATCAAGTTGTTGTGAGAATTAAATGAGTTAAAATATGTGAAGTTGCATAAAGTAAATGCTTAAGAAGTGTGCACTGTTATTATTAGCTCATAAAATTACTGAGAGAAAGAAGGGAACAGGCATAGAGAACACTTCACTGAGGGCCTACTGTATGCTGAGCACTTTACACACAGCATCTCCTTATTCATTCATTCATTGATTCATTGAGAGAAGGGACAGGAGGGAGAAAGAGAGGGAGAGAAACATCGATGTGTGAGAGAAATATCAATTGGTAACTCTCGTACATTCCCAACTGTGAACCTGGCCTGCAACCCAAGCATGTGCTCCGAATGGGAATCAAACCAGCAACCTTTTGGTTCACAGGCCAGTGCTCAATCCACTGAGCCATACCAGCCAGGGCCATACTGTATCTTCTTTAACTCTGGTAAGATCAGGAGAGGTTAGGTTATAATTATCAGGTTACAGTTAAGGAGACTTTAAAGTGAGGTTAAGTGACTTGTCCAAAGCCACACAGCTAGTAAGCGGCAGAATCAGGATGTGAAACCAAATTTCCAAAGCATGGGGTTGAGGTCTTTTTGTAAATTTTAAAGTGTTATAAGGAGTGTTATTTATCCCTGTCTGGTTCCTTATTTCTGCTGAAGGCACAATCCAAGAGCTGACAGGAATCTCAAACAGCAGAATACACAGACATGACACACAGCAGATGCTTGATAAATGTCCCTTTGCTCGCTGCCTCTGTTCTAACCCCTTCAGTTTACAAATGAGAAACAGGCCCAGAGAGGTTAGGGGACTTGCCCACGGTCACACAGCCAGAAGGTGGCAAAGGCAGCAGAACCCAGTTTGGAGTCTCTTTGCAGACACTTCCTTCTCCCTCATCCCTGTCTGGCCAGTTCATTCTCCACTTTCAACACCCTACCCAGGCCAGGCCGGTATCACCAATCCGCTTACGGGCTCCCTGCTCCCGGCCCCTCTGCCTTTCACCTCCCCCTTGTATACACTGGCACATTCCTCTAAATAACCCCTTTTGAGTCACTTTTCAGCTCAAAACCCTTCACTCGACTCCCCTAAAAAACAAGATAAAAGGACAAATTTCTTTTCCTGGTATTAGGGCCTTTCACAATTGAGCCCAACCTCCATTCCTGGCTTTTCTCCAAATCCTCTTCCCCCACAAATCACTGGAGCCCAGGGCTTCCTGCCCGTTCCCACCAAGGCCCAGGCCCTCCCTTCTCTTCCCTCACCAGGACCTGCTAAAGCTCTGTCTAATCTCTAGCAGGTTCTTCAACCACTTAGGCCTCAGGGGCTCTTGTGCCTTGCCCCCAGCACCTACACATGCTCACTGCTCCATTCTGAGGTGTGGCAGGACTGCTGTGTGTGTACACTGTCTCCCCAACTAGACCGTACACCCCCTGAAAGCAAGAACGGTGGAACAAACAGGAAGTCCTAGGCGTATGAACTATGAGGCAACAGGCAAAGAGGAAAGAAAATATGCTTTGGACTCAGGCAGGCCTGGAGTTCAAATATTGACCCTTTCATTTATGAGCTAGTATCCTTAGGGAAGTGACACAACGTTTGTGATTGTGAGCCTGCTGTGGCATCTATAAAAGCAGACAAATAACAACTACTACCTCAAAAGGTTGTAAGGATCAGAAATAGTACATATAAAGGTACTGGCACCTGGTGAGTACTTACTAGAAGCTATTTTTACAAGGGGCAGCAAGGTGCAGACTCTGGAGTCTGAAACACTGGGTTCATATATTGGTTTTGTTACCCATTTGTTACTTAAGGAAGTCCCTTTACCTCTCTGAGACTCATCCATAAATGGAGATAAGAAAGTCTCAATCTCACAGGCTTGTGGTGAGAGCTGAATGAGGTGCTGCAAGGGCAGCTGAGCATAGGGTTAGAGTCATGGGAGCCTTGGTCCTCACACGCAGCTCACACTGTGGCTGTGCTCAGATATGTGGGTATGGATCTTGGCCCAACCACTTACTAGCTGGGTCATGGGAGTCAGAGTGCTTAACTTCTCTGTATCTTCATATGAAAGTGGCACATAATCAACTCTACCCAGTTTTTTAGTGTTGTTAGGAGAATTAGGTGAGAATTCATTAAGTGTGTTTAGTCAAGTGTCTAGTACCTGTCAAGAGC